ACAGAACATTTCCGTACTATATACGGTAAATAACTGTGATATAATTTTACTGTAAAATACCGTTAAATTTACAGTTTTTGAAAGTGAAAAAGAACAACTCCTTGTATAATTTACAGTGAAAAAACGTAAATTGACATTCCCACATTTCCTTGTGCCCAACTTCACATTTGTATTTTTGTTGAAATAACTATGTTTCCTCATAATTTTCTTGTTTATTTTCTAATAATTTATGTACAGTTTTGGGTTGTACATGTAGGGTTTTATGTTACATTTAATGTTGTTCAAAGTTTCAAAACTGAAACTGTCTTTTGGACCTTGTGTTTTCATCAATGTTTTCATCAATGTTTTCATCAAAATCCTTAATTTCTTTTTGAAAGATGACATGGGGGTGAGTAAATTATCAGCACAAGTGTTTTTAAAAGTGAACTACTCCTTTAAGTGTTTAAGTTTGACAGAAGAAAACGAGGAAGACGGGACAAATATTCAAGAGTCATTTCCCAAATAACAAGGTTATTTTGAATTCAAATTTTGTTCGATGGTTAATCGTTGATATTGTTTTAATATTTGTCTCTTTCCAAATGAAAGGTCAAGTTGAGTGTATTCCATCCTTCAGACTTCAGTTCTGACTCAGCTTGCTTTTCTATCCAAACAGTTTTTTGCTTATAGCAGATAGTTAAAAATCCGATCGTTTAAAAATCAAAGACACATCAACTACTGCAGAACGCTGCAGTCAGTGGCTTTGGTAAATACCCAAGTTGGGCTCCAAGATTGGGGACACACACCCAGGCCTGATCAGCATGGGCCTACCTTTGCAAAGGGTGTATTGTGTTTAAAAGGCCGAAACACCTGATGACACGAAGGTATACACAACTGATGACCCCTAGCATCTACTAGTGGTTGGCGCATTTCAGCATTAGTGTAAAACACAATTAAGACTACGTTTAAAAGGGACAATTAATCATCTAGTCCTAAGTGTTTAACATGTGTTCAGTCTATAAATATAATCACCAAGGAGTCCATTGAGTGATGTACATCATTTATGTAATAATGTAGTATCTCTGGTGTATAATACAGCTCAGTAGGGGGCAGAAATGTGCCTATTAAGTTTGCACATTTAAAGAGAGAACGATACAGAAAGCAATTGTTAGTTAGATTTGGTCTTTTGTGCCGTAGATATTACAAGTCAGAGATGTCTGGAAAAAAAAAGAGTAAATATCATATGCTTTTTTAACAGTAAAGGCTATGCTGTTTGTATTCAAAATATTGTCCTCAGGTATTTCCAACAGTCAGATATAGTTTGTATGTTCTGACTGAAAGAAGAAGCATAGTGTTCAGTGAGATCAGTGTTTAATTATGCCTTAATCTTGTTGTCATTGTTGTCATCTAACATTTTCACTTCTTCTTTTTGTTTCATGGAAACAGATAACTTTACAAATTAGTGACATGCCACAACAATCTAACCTAAGCCAGGAAGTTTACAAGCCCTAAAAGTGTCTGAGAACAGTATTAGGTGTGAAGACTGGTGGGTTAGCATTTATATGGTGCAAAAGAAGACATATTTCTCAGATATCTGAGGTGAGGACATTTGTGCTATCTAATGTTAAAGTGTTTTCTGATAAATACTCGAAACGTTCATGGGTAACGAAAATAATAGCACTCGGTTTCAGGCCGACTCATTACTCTTCACCTAGCGCTCCATCTAGTGGCCGCCAGAGACACTGCAGCTAAATTAGAATCCATTCACTTGCTGCAAGACCATTTAAAGGGCCCAAATAAAGATGATCATCTTCCTCATTTCATATTATGACCCATCTCATCTCAAATCAAAAGATTTCCCTCACAGTGGCCCCCGTATATGTGCTATCAAAGCTCAGTGGGCAGCTCTGCAAGCGTGTAGGAGGTTTGACAGCACGTACGTGTGTGTGCGTGAGATAACACGTCTCAAGTCCTATCAAGCTCATCTATTTTTACATGTGGCCCCTCTCAGATGCAGAGTGGTTTGCGAGATGAGAAGAGAGCCAGACCTGCAGAGCCGTTGTGACCAGTTGACCAGGTTGCTATTGGCAATGCTCCATTACAGTTTAACTGTTGGCCCATGCCTGTCAAACCGCAGCAAACGCTCGTATCTCGCTCTCAAAGCCTCACCGCATGCGGTTCCACAGGTGCTGATGGAGGCCTACTAAAGGGTCTGTCGAACCCCATTATCAAGCGGTGAATATGATTTCGATATCAATCAGAACAAAGTGAATTTATATTGTAAATACATGACATTACACAGTATGGCCTTAAGAAAATGGCATTGTAGGCCTTAAGTTGTGTGTTATATTTACATATGGGTACAGTAGTTTAAAGCAAATTTATGAATTAATTCTCAACATTAATGGTTAGACACAATGAAATATCTTCAAAATATCTTATTTTGAGAATCACATACTATATAAGCCTAAAGTCTGGATACATTTGACTGATTTTTTTCTTTTTTTTTTTTTCTTCTTGAAATTAGTTTTGTAGACATACACAGGATAAAATGCAATGCAATGTGCACACGTGAAATCTATAGAAAGGCTGGTGATTTCAAAAAAGTTAAAATAAAAGACATTTTGACTGACATATCTTATTTCATACAAAATATGCATTCACACATTTGTTTGTTACTATAATATCCAGACTTTCATTTGTGTGATGTTATAGTTTTGATAAATTTACTAGCATCCAGACATTATGTTTTACATTCATGTGGCCTCTATGCAACTTTTTAGCATTTTGTTTGATAGAGGAGAGTTTTAAGGGTTTCAATCACTCCTAGAGGTCAAAGGTCAGAAGGAATTGTTAGTACAAAAGGGTTTTTGAAATAAGTCTTGCCATGGCTGCATTTATTAGGTCCAAAATACAGTAAAAACAGTAATCTTGTGAAATATTCATGTAATTTAAATTTTAAAATAAAATGTTTATTTATTCCTATGATGCCAAAGCTGAATTTTCAGCATCATTACTCCAGTCTTCAGTGTCATATGATCCTTCAGAGATTCACTGATGAAACTCAAGGAAACATGTCTTGTTATTATCAACGGTTGTGCTTCATATTTTAGAGAAACTGAATTTCTTTAAGGATTCTTTGATTAATAAAAGTTCAAAAGAACTGTATTTTCGGAAAACAGAATATTTTGTAACATTATAAATGTCTATACAGTGACTTGAAAAATGTTACAGACCCCAAACATTTAGGCCTATATGCCATCAGGCTTTATACAAGTCTGTATCAAGCTCAACTCCTTAACAAATTTCAGACACCATTAGGCTACTTTGCATAGAACCCATCACACTTATGAAAAGAGTTTTATCATAATGGATGCCTTTCTTGCGAAATGCCTCAGATTTGACCTAATTAAAGTCTCAGCATAACCATTTTCTGGGCCTTTCTGGCCCTAACCTATTATTTGCCTCTTGAAGTTTGGACTAGATATCAGCACTCCAAAAGGCCTAAAGTGTAATGTAAAATTTCAGCAAGATGATTTGTTTTCTGGGAAGTGAGTAGGTGGCTGTGAATGAGGTTTTGTGGAGTATACCCCAGTCTACAGCTCTGCAGTCGCTGCTTTGGTTTCTGTTCCGACGAACGAGTCGAAAAGGGGAGAGGGGCTAGTTAAAATGAGGTCGTTGCAAGGAGAAAACACTGACGACACAGAGGCAGGAAGTGGTTTGAATTCAAATGAGAAAGAAACACAGGGGTGATTGAAGTTACTGTACAGACAAGCAAGACAGCTGAACTGTATGTAAAAGGACGCCTGACAGGACAAAGTTCGTCTCGCGTTTGCGGCGGCAAGCGTCCATCCTCGTTCACACGCGCGCTTTGTATAGGCCTACCTGAAAATGTGCTATTTTATGTAGCCTACATTTTCCACAAAGCTATCGATTACCTGGTTAAACTGGAACGTGTGCGCGCATGTGAATATGCGCGCACCGCATGAGGGGGCTGCGTGTGGTAAACAAAACAGTACATCTGAAGTACGGGTTATCTCCCACGTTTAAGGATTTGAGTTCTGTGGAGCTTTGAGGTGGCGTTATGAGTCACCAGGTATAAGAAGAAGAAAAAAAAAATCACAGACAGAAATCCAATAGCTATTCGATGAGTCACCGGTAAACAACACAGGTATGTCACTCTACCAACGCCGTTCGCGACCACTGCGACCCCAAGCCCCAGATTTGATCCAACACCTGTTGAACACTCCAGCAACATATTGCGCTGTAGTCAATTGTTTTATCTTGAAGACTCAAATGTCAAGTATGGCTCATTCTTCAAACCAGTCTCGTAACCACAAGTGATGCATTACTCTCATAAGTTAATCAATATTGCATTCAATATGCATTTAATATTTAAGAATTGTTTGTAGCTAAGTGGTTAGCTGCGGCAATTCAAACTCAGCCAAGTTACTGTAACCCTGCGGCACAAGCTTCAAACCTGCATTATGTTTCACACCGACAGATTTAGTCATAATCTAGAACACAAAAGCACTTTCTGCGGAAATTTGGAAGGACAGTCCCAGATGACAACCGTAAACTCAGCAAAAACCTCTATTTTTTTTTCATGCAAGTCATTCTCAGTAATCTGTTCTTTTTAACCACAAGAAACATTTTTACATGATCTTACTATCACAAGTTTCAGTCTTTACTGAGCTTCAGCTTCTTATCGGTCGACTGACTTTATAACCCTTTCTGAAGAATTTGGTTTGCTATGATTAATACTTGCGCATCGAGCTGAATAAATATCACGTAACAATGCACATACGAAGAGTTCAGATGCAAAAGCCTCTAAATGCCATTTGAAATTTTCTTCTTTAATGATGATTTTTATCAAACTTGTATATTTAAGTTCAGTAATTTCACTTAAATAACAATTAAAAGGTCATTATCATTGCCTTTTAAGTGAAATCACTGAACTTAAATATACAAGCCTGATAAAAATTATCATTAAAGAAGAAAATTTCAAATGGCATTTAGAGGCTTTTGCATCTGAACTCTTCATATGCTATTTGAATTGTGAAGTTAGCCCTCAAAATGAATATTGGTCTTCATCCAGACTGCCAGGCTATAGCAATAGAGTAATCAATGTGCCATCTTTGGAGCATCTATTATAAAGCATCTAATATATTAAAAATACATTTAAATAAAATGTCAATCTGTTATGGGTAGATAATGGTGCATGAGATATGTAATTCAATAAAAAAAATTGGTTTATTTGGTTTTGTTCTAAATGGAGAGGACTAAACTTAATGTATAATAACTGAACTTAATGAATAAATAGAACAAAAGTGAGTCATAACTCAAACCACTGGTTTGAGATACTTGTTTGTAAGTCTCCGCCTCCTGAGGAAGGAAGATGTGGTCCTCACCTACTACTTTCAAACAATATGCATGTCTCTGCATATTACATGTGCCACCTTGTCTGTTGGTAGCTGAGTCTTCGTATGTTTCCAGCCAAAGAGTTTTACTTTTAAGCCGATGTCCTTTAATTCATTTACACTCGCTAGCATCATTCCTGTGGCAGCAGCGTAAGGTAAGGTAAAAATCCTGAATTATTTCAATAAATGAAATGTCAATCATGTAATTCTAGATTGTTGCAAGAAGTGAGGCAGTTTTCATATTCACGAAGTATAAAATGAACAGCCAACATTTGATGTTGTTAATTCTGCAGAGGTTTCATATAACCTACAAAACAATCTTGCTTTTAGCAAAATGAAAAATTGAGATCTTTATCTATGGCCAACCTCACCAAAATCGATTTTTTTCAAGGTTGCATGCATCAGATCCATCATCCTCATTAATTCAGCATGACTCATTTCTCACAAACTATATCATTATTTTGCACATATAAAGTCATTAATTGCCCAGTATGTTCCCTTGGTAGTCTAACACACTTCTCGTGTCTATATTTACCCTTTTTTCTCACAGGAAACTGAAGTATACACTAATAAGTGATAAAGAATTTAAGTCGCATTGTATAATGAAGCCGTATACGAGAATACATTGTGAGCTTTTAAAGTATTGCTTTGAAACTGGGTCCTAGTGATCATTGAACTGTTGTCTTTCTAGGACAATGAGTACCATAAGAAGTCCAGAGCATCCTGCAGACGCTTGTCTACCCTCCTCTACAGGCGAGAGCTCGACAAGTGAAGATGAACCTGGAAGTTTAAGCAGGCTTCTGCCACTCACCGGCTCATCCGTACTGGCACGACGACTGTTCCACCTCCAGTCATATCGCAACCCACTTGTACCGAGTAGACGACGTAAACGCGAGATGACCCCTGCTGAGAAAAAAGATGCATCTTATTGGGTCAAGCGGAAGAAGAACAACGAGGCCGCCAAGCGTTCCCGTGAGAAGCGAAGACTCAACGACTTCGTGCTGGAGGGACAGCTTCTGGCGCTGAGCGAGGAGAACGCCCAACTCAGGGCCGAGGTGCTGAGTCTGCAGTATCACATGGGAATCGGGCGAGGTCTAGACGTCAATCATCCCATGATTCCATTCCACTATCCTGTTGCATCCCATCTCAAGCCGTCCCTGTGGGGTTTGGCTAGCGGTGCTGCTGCTCTTTCGGCAGATGGTCCAGAACTCTACCACTCTTGGCCACAGCGTAACTCATCTCAATTCATCTCGCCCTTGAGGGTGCCTCCTAAGAGTGCCCAGCTACCATCACAGGTTAGCTACTCAGACAACAATGCTGACCCAGTTGAGTCGGACCCAGCATCTCACCCACAGGTCTCTTCCAGCAACGACCCACCAACCCACCCACAACTGTTTCCAGCTGAGAGAACACCTGCACCCTCGCCGCCCCCTCCTCAGTTGCTGCCTGGGTTGAGCCACTCCGCCACCCAGCACAACAACCAGGTGTTACCTTGGGGCTCGTCCTCTTTGTATCCATCTCCCCTTCATCCCAACTGGCCGTTGTCCTTACCTCTGTCGCTACGAGACCCAGACGGATCTCGTAATGGAGGAAGGTCCCTCTGGAACTTCAACAGCAGGTACAGCATGCTGTCCGCTGAGATATCAGGACAGCTCAGAAGAATATTTTGCCCAGAGAACTCTTAATCAGCAATAGCGCTTCCTGAAGGGGCCGTTCACCCAAAAATGTATATTCTGTCAACATTTACTCATCCTCATATCATTCCAAACCTGTATAGCTCTCTTTCATCTGTAGGACAGAAATTTTTGAAAATGGTCTGTGTTCAAATTGGCCATTGACTTCCATTGTATTGAAAAAGTCCTTCAAAATATGTTCTTTTGTGTCCCGCAGAAGAAAGAAAGGCATACAGGTTGAGAACAACATGGGTGAGCTATACCTTTAAGGCTAGCTGTGCTTAATGTAGTGATGCGCAGGCCAACTCCTTACGGACTGGCAAATGATAGATAAAACAAACTTGAAATGTTTATTCTGCTAATATGTGGATTCCAATTAAAAGTAATTAATCCTCTTACCTTGCTTACTTGCTTTTTGCGAATAAATCTGATTCATGTTTGGGAATCTACACACAGCCACATCATTGATTGTTTGATAGAAATTCTTATTAGTATTCACCTTCACTCTTAAAATGTTTTGGTGTGAAGTTTGGGGGACCACTCAGTTATCAGTTCTTAAAAGAACCATGATTTTCTTAGTGTTCAGGACATTTTAATAATCAATATAAAAAACCGTTCGTCGGATGGAACGGTTCCTCGATGCAAAGAACCTTTATTTTTAAAAGTGTTGCTTGTGTGAAATACTGGTTCCAGCTGATTATGACATTGAAAACAACCTTTCACTGAAGCCGTTACGCATTAGTGATGTTTCACGTAAGGGAAAAACAAAAGAACGAGAACAAATTATGTGGCTGCTGAAACAAACAGTAACAGCAAAACTAAAAATGGTTTCATTTGCTGCCGATCACTGAATTCCAACTGCTTCATATTAATTTGTAGATGGAATGTGCAATGAGATCAGTTATGGTAGACATTGTGTAGTTATGTTTCTTACATTTATTCTCTAATAATAAATATGGGGCATAAATTTAATTATTAAAGTGATCATGATTAAATAGGAAACATGGTCACAATAAAGATGGTTTCAGACTGGGGTAAATTTGTCTGATATCTGATGGAACTTAGGCTTGTAAAACCGCATGTTCACACTTCTGGTGTGTGGATGTACATGTATTCAAGTGTGTGAAGTAGAATAAAGACTCATTTAAAGGTGTAAATAGGCCAGTTTAGCTCAACAGCACAATAGGTTATTTTATTTAAGTGCATAGAGAGGCGCTTTTAAGTAAAATGTATTATTATTATTATACTTATGGTGTATCTGATCTTATTTTCCTTGAATGTGGTGTGAAAGTATCTTTTTTTAATAATGGAACTGACATAAACATTTTTAATATATTGAACACTTACTGTAAAAACTAAATTATTGAGGTACCATTTGGGGTTACTCAGATCAACACATTGGCCTAAAGCTTTGTACACATCTAAGCATAATTTTTAATGTGCCTCTATATCCTATGGTGGAGTCAAGGAACTTCAATAGCTATATAACTGCCTAAAAAACACAAAAATTCTTAAAGGGATAGTTAACACAAAATCTTTTATTTTGTCATAATTTACTCACTCTCACATTGTTCCAAACCTGTATGAGTTTCTTTCTGTTTAACACAAAATATATTTTGAAGAATGTTGGTAATCAAAACAGTTCAGTAACCCCAGTAACCATAGTATTTTACATACATTTTTCTTCCTATTGAAGTCAATGGCTTCCACTGCTTGGTTACTGATATTCTTCAAAATTTGTGTTCGGCTTAAGACAGAAACTCCTACATGTTTGGAAGAACTTGGGGGTGAGTAAGTAGGCTAATGACATTTTTTTTTTTTTTTTTGGTGAACTATCCCTTTAAATGAACTTGTTATTTCTTGAGAACTGGCCTTTTTTAAATATGTGTCTGTGACGATACGCGGAAATTGTGCTTTAAGTAACTTAGGCCTACTTCAAAATCAGACCAATAAGCGAGAAATCATGTAAGTTGACAAAGAGCAGTCAAAATGTTAGCATAAACTAGCATTAAAAAAACATCGCAACTGTTTTATTATCACTGAGGTGCAATTAATACACAAAACAAATAAAACTTTCGTAATTTCACCATACCATTATCAGGATCACGTTCAATAAACGTCTTAGTTAACAAAATAAAACAACAAAAATCCTCACACAAACACTCAACACAACCGTCGATGTGTAAAGGTGTGTGCGTAGCGTCGTAAAAAGTATTAATGTTCCTATAAAATAAGCCTACACTCACTCGTGATATGTATTACAAGTGTAGGCCTAGCTATATTTCATAAAGATTAAGCTTCATAGAAAATTAGAAAATTGTATTTTTCTAGCAAGCGTCAGGCCTATTTACAACCTCACGTTAATGGTCGCTAAAATGTTTATAAGATTTACGAGTGTTAAAGGATAAAGATTAGATAATAAGATAACGTACCTCATAACAAGTCCCATGAGTGGTGTGTGAACACAGCCATGAAGATAACCAGTAGGGGGCGCGCTGTCCTTGACAATAGGCCTACAAATGAATTGCACACAAGCCCCAACAGTCTTCTGTGGTGGTCATCTGACAACAGCTATTGTGTTATGTTCTTCTAATTATTAGAAAAATAAGTTGTTGTTGTTATATGCGTGTTAACACCACAAAAATAGAGCAAAACGGACTTTTCAAAACAACATATTTGAGGAATTAGCAATATTGCGACAAAGTAGCCTAGCTAATCCTCCAGGATTCTCCTCCAACATTAACAACAATATTAAATGAATATGCCTTCTTTTTTCAATGATTCTTAAATTCCTTGAAAAAATAATGCATATTAATTTACTATAATTGTTCATGTTGGAGGAGAATATGGTGGTTACAGCCTTGGGAATGAGAACAAGTGCCTTATTTTGAAGGTGGACGTTGATTTTAGGTCTTTCCAAAACAGTACAGACTTCTGCAATTCCTTAGTCTTCAATTTAGAGCTTTCATATCTTTAGTTAATGACTGAAGAGGAAGTTGAACAGCAAGGACCCAGTCAAGAGTGAGAGAGATAAGACAAGAGTCAAGAGTGGCCATCAGAAAGGCTAACTGGAAGAATAATTAAGAGTGGTTTTCCATATCTGACCCCTTTTTTTCAAAAATACAAACACCCACCCGTTTGCACGTATGGGAGGGACATGTGGGCCATGGTGTAAACTCATCAGCTTTGTGTTAAAAGAAGACACAGACAGGGGCTTGTGGGCTGATCTCATAAAGCAGCGAACAGGCAGCCTCTAACTTTTAATCACACTTCACACCAAAGAGAAGCCACGAGTCAGAGAGGAGAGCGTTTAATCAACACTGCACAGCAGGTGAGACACTCAGGTCACACACAGACGAGACAAGGGTTTGATGCGCGGAGAGCCGACTGGTTCCAGTAATGACGAGCATCCTCAGTGATGTCAACGCTGGGTGAGCCTTCGGGAACTGTCAGAAGCTGTGTGAAGGTAAGAAAAGGGGACTTTTGTCTGTCCATCAGTGGTCAACTTTGAACATTCTATATGACAGTGTAATGTAACGACCAAAAAAAAAAAAAAAAAGTCAACGTCCTTTGACTTACAACAGAATCTGAGGTGTCACCATCAAGCAAAACAACAAACAAAAAACATGGTGTTGGCCTTACGTCTACAAACATCTCACTATCTTAAAAGCTTTTTAGCATTAAAATAATGCAATTAAATGAGACGCATTAGATAAGCAAACTTTCGTGGTTTGAAAATGCTTCACGTCGCTTGAAAGCCGTAGATGATGAGCAAAACTATACGTAACAAAGTCATTTCAGATGTAACCGTTGGTTTACTTCCAACTCCAAGCATCAGATTTCCCATTATTTTTATTATATAAATAGGTACACAAATTAAGCTGTCCAATATTTGGTCAATGTGGTGAATTTAACCATTTGCATTTCTTATTATTGTAGAATTTTTAACCCTTTAAATCGTGTTTAATATTCATATTATAATATCTCATGTTACCTTAAATTATTAACGCAACCATATTTGGCCGCAATGTCATACAAAAGTGTATATAAGATTAGTGAGTTTTTATTTGTAAATGTAAATTTCTTTGTAGACCTTTCCAAATATTGAGTTCCAAAGTGAGTTCCATGGCTCTTGTGATGTTGGTAAATGTGGGTTATTTTGAAAGAGTGTGTGGTGTGGCATCTTTATCATTTTATATAAATGATTTCAAGGGAAGATTAGAAAAGACAATTGCAATAAATGGCATCGCTGATGTTACTGCAGCTCTGCAGTTAATTTGCAATAATGCAAAAGATATTTAATAGCTATTCCAATTAAAATTATAATGGGGTGAAAAAATGTCCCCAGTGCACTTTTTATGGCCAAATTTGTATAGAAAAAAATATTTTATTCCAAATTATACGATGCATAAGCTCCAGTTGTTTGTGTATGACCATGTTCTCCAGCATGATTTGAGATCATCTTGAGCTTCAATGGAAACTTCTGACCATCCGTACAAAGCAGTTTTTCGTTATCAATGCCACAAATGTGCTTATACGAATAGAAATAGTGTAGCATTGTACATATGTATTATTAATTTTAAAAATCCTAAAACTTTTACAGGTTTAAATTTGATTTTGAATCCCAGATTTTCAACACAGAACTGACTGATACGAAATAAAATTGATAACGCTTTAATAAATCAGCCACGCTGAACATCGACAATGCAACAATACACTTTCAAGGGGGTAAAAAATATTTAAAATCTTTTTACAGCCAGACGTTATTGTTTATGAAGACTTCCGTGCCACTCATTTAAAAACAACTGATGGGAGGGGGACGACATAAAGCATAAGAAACCATAGTCCAGGAAACAAAGATGTACAGAGAAGCAGGTGGTGAGGGTAAAAAGCAACAGATAGGTTGTCAAAAAGGAGAAGTTTAAGAGTTTGTTGCTGAAAAGCACCATCTAAACTTAGCGGCAGGTGCAGAAATGTGGCCTGAGGCCCCTGGGGGCCTCAAGGCCACTAAGTCATCGAAAGCTGTATTTGATGCCTATTAAACATATACTACTGGCTACAAAAGTGACATTGAACAGTTGTTTCACTAAAAAAATTAAACAATTCACCAAAAGAATTGGGAATAGCAATTTGGCTTAGAGGGATACTCCACTTTTTTGGGAAATAGGCTCATTTTACAACTCCCTCAGGGTTAAACGTTTGAGTTTTACCGTTTTCTAATCCATTCAGCCAATTTCTGATGTCTAGAAGAATATCAGTTACCAGACAGTTTCTGGTCTTGACTTCCATAGTAGGAAAAAATATATACTATGGTAGTCAATGAGACCAGAAACTGTGTGGTTACTGATATTCTTCTAAATATCAGAAAATCGGCTGAATGGATTTGAAAATGGTAAAACTCAACTGTTTAACTCTGGGGGAGTTGTAAAATGAGCCTATTTCCAAAAAAAGTGGAGTATCCCTTTAAATGAAATCTTCAAAAGGTGATGATTTAATTGTGAACGCTGGATGTTTCAAAGTAAAAACCTGACGCTGTTGCTCGTTGCAGTTCATAATCAAGGAATACTGACTCATTACGCAAAGCAATTGCTTATTATAATGAATTATGACAATGTTTACACTATGGTGTTTATATCATAAAATCCCATAAACGCCACCTACTGTCAGAGAATGACATTGACACAGTTCACTTCATGTATACAGGCAGGAGCCATCTTAGAAAATAGTCTCGATAAGTCGATCCCCGAACGCCGTTCATACAGTTCAGCTCACTCAGCACGACGTTTGTGATTTGACTTGTCGTGACTGTTTGCCAAGATGGCTCCTGTCTGTATACACCATGGTATACATAAAGTGGACTGTCTTTATAAAGTATCTTCTCATTAAACGGTCTGTACACTTACAAAGTTCTCAATGCTTCTTTTTGCATGTATGGACCCTCATTATGTTAATGTGTTAGTGTGGGGCTAATTTGAGCCTTGTTAGTGGTATAAACCAGCGATTTCTTTTTACTCAGTATATGCCCCCATTACTAGCGTTATACGCTAAAAAGTTTTTAGAGATAAAACTCTTTACATTCGATTATCATGAAAACAAATCTCAGAGAACGGTTGACTAGGTACCGATGTTTTATTAGACTAAAGGTTCATTTTGAGCAGAAATTTTCTTCTAGAATGATCATTGTTATCAAGCTTGTATATTTAAGGTCAGTAATTTCATTTAAATGACAATTAATAGGTAATCTTCATTGCCATTTAAGTGAGATTGATTAACTTGATTATACAAGCTTGATAAAAATGATCATTCAAGGAGAAAATTTCAAATGGCACTTAGAGGCTTTTGCATCTGAACTCATAAAATATAACAGCCAATTTATGATTTGACTCATCCCTTTACTTAGTTTAAAGGCTGACATGTGAGGTTTATCATTTTATAAAACCTTTAGTTTTTGTCAAACCTTGCATTATATAAACTTATAAACTTATATAAAGTGGATAAGATACATGCCTTTGGTGTGAGAGACCTGGGTTCGAATCCACTGTGAGACACCAATGTGTCCCTGAGCAAGACACTCAACCCCTAGTTGCTCCAGAGGCATGTGACATATATAGCAATTGTAAGTCGCTTTGGATAAAAGCGTCAGCTAAATGAATGAATGTAAATGTATTGCTTTACCCATCCATATGGCAGTAATGTTATTGTTAGTCTTTATTTTAAGATGACGTGGTTAAATTGTACTCGCGCAAATAAGTGCTGAGTATTATTAATAAACTACACGTACTTAGTTACGAGAGTTACGGTTAGGGTTTGGTTTGGGGTTAGTTTCTTGAAATAATGCATAATTTACTGTTATTACTATAGAACCACTATGTCCTTAAAATAAAGTGTTACCAATTTCATTTGTGCAGGTCTTAAAAGGGTCTTAAATTTGTGTGTGATGTAACGATTAAAAAAAAGCAAACTTCCTTTGACTTACTACAGAATCTGAGGTGTCACACCATCAAGCAAAACAAAAAATATGGTGTTGACCTTACTTCAACAACGATCTAACAAGCTTTTTCACACCAAAATAATGCAATTAAAAGGAGAACTACAAGATAAGATGCATCAGATATGCAGACTTTCGTAGTTTGAGGTGAAAATGCTTCACGTCGTTTAAAAAAAAAGCCGTGGCTGACGTGTAAAACTATACATAAATAAAACTAATTTTTATACGTAACTTTTGGTTTACTCTGTAGATAACCTGGATAACATAGCCATGAATGCATACTATTTTTGGGGTAAGTCAATGTCACCATTGAATGGTCTGTGATAGGAGAGAGAGAGAGAGCGCGAGATAAGATTCTTATGTTTTTAAGTTTAAGCATGCTACACTGCAAGGCATATTTCAAGAGTTTTTCTAGTTTTTCTGACTAACTTATTCATTGTATACTCAACACAGGAAGGAGGAAAGCACGTGAACAATCTCTTTTGACTTTCTCTTTGTGTGTGTGTGTATGTCTGTGGCACAGCGACAAAGCAGGCAGAGTGTATATTTAGCTCCACAGCGTTTGTCACCAACACCGCACCTAAACTGTTAGCATATCCTATGAGCGCATGTCCGCATTAGCAGGCTGGCATACATCTCACTATCAACTAGCAAATCCTATCACAAATTTACATTTCCCCTGAGGGTGGTTTTCAAAATCTGTTCGACATTTTGCAACAAAGAGATTTTGCCAAAACTGTTTGCGAGGAGCCAAGTTAGCAACTTATGTAAAATACATGACAGTTTCACGTTCCAGTAACTAATCAGGGTGGTATTACTGCTGGCTATGAACAGATGTCTTGGATGTCATCAGTACAGCTATAGTGATGAAACCAAAAAGGAAATATCGGAAACTCAAGGTGAGATTTTTAACAGCAACTTGATGCTACGTCTTTACAAGGGAGCAGCAAAGCTGTCAATGTGGAAAGATGTAAGCGACATTCAAATTGCACAGCTAAAAACCCACCAGCCCTTCAACACATTGACACCTATACATCCTTTATTTTGACAAACCACTTAGTAACGTTGACTGATAAAGAGAATTAGGTTAGTCTTGGAGTAGAACCGCATGTCACATGTCACTGTGGTTAGCATACCACTGCTGCCCACACAATTATTAAAGAAAAAAGGCCTGTTTGCAAACTAATCCTGGTTAGGGTGTTAGATACAAGAATTTCATTGTGGGAAAAAATAATATGGTTGTGCACTAAAATTGAGTTTCCCTGATATACAGGGTCTAAATCTACAAGATTACGCAGCATTCTAATGCAAAATATGATGTGTATAATCAAAATCTAACTGACAATGATGACAATCATTAAAAATAATGTTTGCCTACTGAAAAGTAGTGAGCGATCTTTCTGTTTATAGATCACCGACACTTTTGTAGGCTAACCTCAGAAGGTTCCCTAAACACAAAAAAAACAATGGGTAACAATAGGTTATTCAAGTTCCCTGAAAAGTTGTCTAATGTGTGGCCCCCTGTAGCCGATTCGTCATGTAATGTGCGAATAAAAGCAACTAAATGGAACCCCAGATAGTCATCTAGTTACTATGAGAAGAACAGCAATCCAACTTTGAAAGTTTCATTAATTGTTGTACACTGCTAAAAACATAACATGCATGAATGTGATGACAATGACAAAGTGGTTCTGGTTCTTCGTCAAATCTTGAAACCAAACTTATAAAAGCACTATTCCTTTTTTTTCCCTATTCCTCTGGAAATCGAAATCTAGTCTATCGTTTTTTTTTTAAATCTGATGAGCTGATTAGAGTGGAGTTGAATTACTATGCACAACTTGCAGCACAAGCACACATGCTCATACTGGTCAGTGTAGCACCACATTGCAGGCTCGGTCTCATAGCTGTGGTTTGAGCGAGCATCCACAAATCATCCCCACCACTATGTTCAACAAACACACAATGTTTCATTGGCTCGTGGCTTGGCCTAACAGTCTGTTAGTTTTACTCTGTGGTAAGCGTACACGCACCTCACTGTCACGCTCTAAGCCCAGATTCCAAGCTCATAAAAAGGCAGAGCAGATGAAAGAAAGGGATGAACAGGATGTGGTTAGCCTACATGAAAACTCACTCACTCTTTTAACTTGGAGAAAGGTTCTGAGGAGAGAAAAAAAAACCCACAGTGAGCGTGGGGTTAGCTGTACAAAACGCAAGGTGCGCATACTCTCATGCTACTGTTGAGATTTTAATGATATGCATTCTGTGGATCCATAATTATTTATAGGATAAACTAAAACAACTTTTTTTAGGCATACTTCTTGTGCATCTGTGGTGTGCTTTATTATATATTATTCATGAATTAGCTACTATTATATAATGCATTGATTACGTGCTTGTTTCTAAAAAGTTTGTGAATTAGGCTATTTGCAAACTTTTTAGAAAAAAGCACGTAGTTAATGTATAATATAATAGTAGTTCATTAATGTATAATAAAAAAGAGACAGACAGGGACAATTAACATAACAAAAGAACGAAGGACTCAAACCCGAAGACTCGAAAAAAATGAACTAATCATTTCTTTTCTGGTACTGACAGCATAGTCTCTATGGGACTGACAGGAAGAACGAAAGACTCGGACCCGTCCCGAACCCGAAGAGATGAACTCGGCATGAACTAATCATTTCTGTTTCCAGTACAGATTCAGAACCCATATGTTGCACAATGCGCATGCCCGGTTAACACAAAATGAACAATTACATTTTCATTTTTTGATATCAACAATTGAATTGTCGATATATTGTTGATATCAAGAATACATATCCTGGAAATTAATAGTTAAAACGGCTTGCCATACGAATCACTCTCTGAGACAACTCAGTCCCGAGTTATAAGAATCGAATCGTTCGTGAACGACGACACATCACTGAGACCCGCTAAAATATCTATATCAAAAAAAGTTGGCCGGCACGTTTGTCAACAGCAGAGGGTTAACTCTCTCTAGCCTAAGAAGGAACATAAATTGTGATTAAAAATATATGCTCACTCACATCATGATGCCGCTGCGGTGGTGGAGTCCATGCGGTTGGCACTGCGTCGCTTGAGTGTCGCACTGCGCACACTCCAGCTCCTGGCGGGAACTCGCGGTCTTCCAGGCCAAGTGCATGCAACCACTGGCACCTAATTTCCAAGTCTAGTGGAAAGTGCAGTCCAGCAGCGCTGCAACCAGCGACACTACCCATCCTGACCACTGTACTAAATAATATAGATAAATCTATGCTAACTTGAAGCTATGCTACAAACTAAACTATGCTTTTAACAATACTAAACTAACAACTATGCGAATTAACTACCCAGTCGATGCTAAAATACTCTATCCTGATCGTTTTCAATACTCACAATTCCTGTCCTGACTCGCTACAGTGGTTTTGACGAAACAAGATTGTTTTTATATAGCCAAGGGCAATATAAAAGCTCACCAAGGGCGTGGTGAGCTGGAATCTGCTTACGTCAAACATCATAGGAAAAATCAACTGCAGTAGCCACCATTCAACCTGAAGAGGGCAGCACTCTGACGTTTTTACCTATGGTTTTTATGCAAAATTTTGAGGAATTAAAACACTTCATACCCAAATGTCAAAAAAGTTACTCGAATCAATGAACAGCACTAGCCCCATTCCTACAGATCATTAACTAAAAAAAAGTTGGTTTAGGGTTTAGTATCACGAGTTTGATTGGCCATAAAATCTTTAAGATATTAGGTTAAACTTATTTGGCTTGCTGTAGAAAAACTATAATACAATCATCCATGATTAAGATTTGTGACTTACATCCACAAAGAATGAAAAAATGTCTTTTGTTTGCGCATAACTATTTTCTAAGGAAAGTAGCTATGGCCTTCCCTAAATGTCGCTAGGTGATGTCATATGCTAATTAGCATATTAATGACGCCATCGCGCCGTACTTGCGTTCTGTCAGCCTAGTGCGTTTTCTCTCTAAATTAATGCTCTATTAATATAATATAGCCGAATGTCAAATAAAGCTGTTTCCTGTATCTTTTTTGTTGTCAGACAATAGAACGAGTATCTATAATATAGTGAATGATTACATTTTTTATAGGCCTATGTGGAACATTATCTGACTTGAGAAAGTTCGAGAACCGGATGAACTAAGCTCTGTGATAGTGAGTGTTACGGACGGTTACACGTAATAATAAGCAGGAGAAAAGAAATAAAATGAAAATGGTCAAACTAAAATATTTAAATACAAAACAAAAGAAAAACAGATGATAAGTCTGTGGAAAAGCATTGCGTATTCACGTCTGTGCCGTGCGCTCCTCTCACCCATTCACTGAAAAGGGGAGACGCAGCTTGAGAGAGTGATGACAGACAAAGCAAGAGCTTCCTCTCGCAGGACAGTACTGGCAACATTCGGAGGTCACTGAGGTTTGTCTAAAAAGTCGCTAAAATTGTCGCTAGTTGCTTTTTTTTTTTTAAAAATGCTGAAAAGTCACTAATAATAGCCACAAAGGCACTAAGTTGGCAACACTGATTTGAAAATGTAACTACAATACCCATATGCCCCATCATCAACAGTCCAGTCGCCAAGATACACCACCCTGAAATGACTTCTTGCAGGTTGGGATGTCTGCATGTGGTTAAGTTGAAGGAAATTTATATCTGACCTTTTGTCTGGAAAAGAACGTAATGGCCAGAAGTCAGCAGAGAGACAATACAATGTGTCAATGACATCAGGGGGGAAGTAGGTCTGTTCATATGTGAGCATAACGTCTAGTCCCACTAGATCTCTCCGTTTATCACAATAATTCATTCCACTGGTTACCCACAAAATGATGGCCCATCAGACTGTGTGGGGGTTCTTAGAACCCAAAGTGTGAAGTCGATTTCCAGCATGTCTGAATCACACCAGTGGTCGTACTCATGTCCTTCATGCTGCATAGTCACTTCATTATCAGGCTATTAGCATTGCTCAAGCATTTTTGAACTGAAATTGCTAAAAGGTAGAGCTGAAACTTAGAGCTGAAACAAATTCCTTGACATAGACTTTGATTTTTCTAGCGGTATTAGTAATAATCTGCAACCATTGTTAATACTTAAATCTTAAGTTAGAAAGATGTTTAACTGACTAACACAACGGCAACAACAAAAGCAACAACAACACAGTCACCACAAGGGGAATTTTTTGTCTTATTACCTCATCTACAGCCCTAATGACAGGAACATTACAGAGTTTTGGGTTCAGATGTGTGGTACGTACCTGTAACCAAACTGGTCTCTAGCAGGTACAAGTCAAGAATTTAAACAGAAATTGCTTTGCGATGACACTCATATTCTGTTGCAGATCTGACTGTAATCTGACACACAAATGAACCAACAAGACCACCTGCAAAGGAAATAACTCTGCTCTTTCATCATAGGTAAAGCTCCTGTTGACAGCATGACTGAGAAGTGGGACTAACATCTGACTAACTCCAGACACCACACACACAGAGAGAGAGCAGGTGCATCTTGCGTGAAACCAATCAGAAAAGTCATACCCTGTGAAAATGGAGTCCGCATTCTCACAGATGAGATGGGAAACTGATGGAGAGGCCGAAGAGATCTCCTTGAGAGGTCTGGGATTGCGTCGCAAACGGGAGTTCATACCCGAGGACAGGAAAGACGCGACTTACTGGGAGAAACGCCGCAAGAACAACGAAGCGGCGAAGCGCTCGCGAGAGAAACGAAGGGTCAATGACTACGTATTGGAGACTCGTTTGGTTTCATTGAGCGAGGAAAATGCGCGTCTACGATCTGAGCTGCTGGCTCTAAAGCTTCGGTACGGTTTGCTCAACTCTGGAGCCACCTTCTCCTCGTCTCAAAGAGCTCTATCTCATCTTCACTCTTTGGCCCCGCAACCTCTGGTTTCTTACCAAGACAAAGATCTCTACTGGGGAAGAAGGCAAGACAGAGAGGCTTCCAATCTATCTGGGAAACAACAAGCACCCATCTGTCTGGGGACCCACCCCGGGTCGGCATTCCTTCCCACGCAGCCCATGGCCATACGGAGAAATCACCCATACTTCCTAGACTTCCCCACCCTCCATTCCCCTTCGGCCACTCCTTTACTCTTTCCACCACACCTCGCCCCAGCAACAGCACCTTGGGCAGGACGGCCCCTGCCCCAACCAGGGAGTCAGAGGATCTTGTCGGATGACGAGGGTGAGCAGCAAGTGCCGGCGGATTCCAGCACTGCCCTTCCCCATAAACTAAGACTGAAGTCTCAAAACTCACAGCTCAAAGACAATAGAGCTAAATCTGCATCTCCTATTCCAGCATACATGTCAGATTGAAACCAAACTCTAGGCTAAAGTGGACTCAGCAGTCATGAATCATCCTACACATTTTAATAAACAAACTTGGCAATATTCCAGTAGGTTTGGTGTTAACCATTTGATAAAAAAAAATACTTCGATCAAAAGGTCACACATACTGATATAGTTTCCAAAATTATTTTGAAGAGTCAATATTTCCATTATTGAGGTGGAAAGTGGCAAACCTGAATTGGGATAATGACTTTTTCTTTTTTCTTTTTTTTTTTGGTGCTTGAAAACCCCCTTTTTTACTCTTAGTATAGACAAGAAAGTAGAGATAAGAAGGAGAATATGATCCGGATTTGATCTAGCTCAGGCTCAATCAGCAGTCCTTTTGAGTGACATTTTCGCATTTGGAAGATTTTTGAAGTTACTTACATTACATTAAAAATGAGCATTTTACCATTTCATGTACTCCCTGGGAATCACACCCATGAACTTTGCATTGCTAGGGCATTCTACTGTTTGAGCTACAGAAACTTTGTAATGTTTATTTTTGATTATTTTTTAATCGCCACCTCTTTCGCGCTTCTTTGACATTGCAGTTCTTCGTCATCATGAAAGTTATTATTTGCATGCGTTTTAAAGCCATATCAGTTTAAACTTCTGATATATGGTTTTCTGACCGCACACAGACAGCGCGTCGCGTGAATATTAAATAAAGTTCTCTTTTATGTCTTATTGGGCTTAAAGGAGAACTCCAGTCAATTTTAACATTGAGCTCATTTTTTTAGTACAGTTGGAGTGCTGTCAGTATAGACAAAACCAACAAATATCGGTGTTGCCTACACCGTGTTATCGTCTTTTTAAAATTCGCACCCTGTTGACTTCAATGGGGCAAGTTCTAAACCTGCTTTTAGCCTCTTAACATCCTTGATTTTTCATTTCGAGTGCACAGCCATGTGAGTGGTGTTGTTAAGAGTGACCACGGTCAATCTGACTGCAGTAGATGTGAAAGATATTAATAAAAATGATGTTAATTCTGCCAGCTCACATACCTCTATTTGCTTCCTGTTTTCGGTTGAAGCCCAAAGTAGTCGATTGTCGAGTTCACTCGCGCGATCATTGGTGAATATCACCACTGTGTGGAGTTCTGAGAATATCAGCTCAAATGGATAGTTCATCCGAATCAGATGTTGAACACACGGAGGAGGTTTGAGATGATATTCACTAATGATCGCATGTGTGAGATCGACAATCGACTACTTTGGGCTTCGACCGAAAACAGTGAGCTGGCTGAATTAACATCATTCTTATTAGTATCTTTCACATCTACTGCAGTCAGATTGACCGTGGTGGTCACTCTTAATAACACCACTCACATGGCTGTGCACTCGTAATGACAAATCAAGGATGTTGAGAGGATAAAATTGACGTTAGTTCTCATTTAAACTGTCAAGGATAAATGAACAGTGATTATATCTGTGTATTTTAACAGTGGGGAAATAAAACGATTATGTATATTATAGATCTTTGCATTAAAGTGACAGCAGCGTACTAGACAGTACCTACTGCTGTATGCTGTCAATATGAATCAAACAAAAAAATAAAAACAGAAAACCATTCACTGCTCTTAAATTAATAACTTTAGTAGCTTTAATAAGAGTACATTTCTTATTACAACTTATTACTTAATACAGCTAATTTTGAGACACTGTTTCCATACTTTTAATTGGTTTCTTCCTGCCTCCACATACCTCCAGTTTGTACAGTTTAACAAAAGTGTGCCTATTTTAACTACATTAGCAATGTTAGCAACAACAGTGGTTAGCTGTGATGCTAATTAACAGGGAGGATATCTACAACTTTGTGGCACTGACTGACCTGCTCATTTTCATTTAGAAATACAGTTTATGAAGGTAAAACACTTTTGCTTGCATGTCATTTTATGTTCACAACTCAATGAAATATTACAAAAACAAAGATGTACAGTAAAATTAACGGTTTGCCTTTAACATCAAGTCGTCGATATTTTTTCACAATCTTAACGGATTACTACAGGCAAAATATGCAAGTTGTATACAAGTTATTTACATTTGCATTGTAAATTCAAGGTACACTGTTTGTCAGTATATTTAGCATTGAACCCATGCTAGTGTTGTAGCCTATGCTAAAGTGAGGTATTGTCATGTTGCGTTAGTTTTCCCCCCTTTTTTACAATAAAGTTCAAATAAAAATTTCAGCTTTTGATCGTTTATTAAATATAAGCATCCTAGAGTTCACTCATGAACAGAGAATAATTGATCTTAATATAGAGTGAGAATGACTCTTGTTTTTCTCATGCTCTTACGGCTGCGTGAGTTGTGCTGCTTGCAAACTGATGACAGGCTGAAGGACTCCACATGGGCTGCTGCGGTTTATGAGTGTGAAAGGGGGGCTGAAAAGTAAGTTTCAGTGGCATGTAAGGGTGGGAAAGGTGGAGAGGGGGTTTCTCAGCACTAATGAGTCACCTTTAATGATCAATCGTGATGCCTACAGAATATACACCGCAAACACACTGCACAAGGCGAGGAAAGCGAGCAACAGTCTGCTAGTTACTAAAGTGATTCAGTGACTTGCATAACAAGCCAGACACAAAGTAATCTGACATAACTATGACCTTTTTTTAATGAACCAAAGTAGTTTTCAAAGTAGTAACTGGATTAGCATAGCCTACATTTCGCTCTGTCTTCACAGTTAAATGTTTTTCATTTGTTCTTTTTTTCTGCTAACCACCTGAGAGATGAAGGGAGAGAAGTACAATGAAGAAAAAGGAAGTTAAAAGTATATTGTCTTTTACATCTGTAAACCACATCATCCTTGAAAATGAACTCAGTGTTGCAAGAGTACAAGATCTAATTGTTTGTGTGTATTTATCATTGTTGAAAATCTACTTTTGACAGATATTTGACCCTGTAGCATTCCCTCCTACAAATGTTGCTAGCATAAGCTACAAGCTGGACTCGCTAATGTTAACAAATCACACGGGACAGCTTTATAGTTTTGGATTTTGACCAGATCTACTCTATCATCTCTTTTCTGTCAAGACCTTAAAAAACAGTGTCATTGTCATGTTTTATCCACTTAAATTTGAGTCACATAAGCACACTCTTTGTGCAATGACATCATAGGTCAGCAAATGCGCCAATACAAATGTGCAGGACTGAACCACAATGGAAGAAGACCCGTGTTATCTGGGTTTTTAGTGCTAATCTCTATAATGGGTGAATGCATATTAATATTGCATAGACAGATCTTGGATCTTTGGTGTGAAAGTGAAACATGACACTTCTCTTTTTTTCAATTTATTCATAGACTGTCAAGTACAAAATTCCTGGCCACACACAACTAAATCTACGACATCATCAAGACATGCAACGCGAGACATCAATCACTCTCACTTTGTATTAGGTTTACGTTTATTTACTTTAGATATATAAAAAGAGGGTTGTCGTGTAAGAATCACAAGTGTGATATTGCTTTTTTTAAAGGTCAAATGGTCAAACATTTTACTTATGTTTTTTTATCATTATTATTTGCCTTCATGTCTGTGCTTTTTTAAATCCTGCAGTAAACAACTTTGTTTTGTGCAGTTTGTTTTAGATAGCAGATGGTACAGAAGAAAAATGTCATGACAAGAAAATAACTGACATTTTCTTGTGCACACATGAGATGACTATGCCAGATGCTTATTTATGGCCAACAATTGCTCACTTGTCTTTTCATTTCATTCAAAGTTTGTTTTCAAAGTCAGCGGCTGTCCTTGTTGAAACTTTTTAGGCAAAATAGCCACTTTTTAGAGAATCAGGGCTGGTGGTTTGTAAGCTGGTTGTTACCGATGTAAACCTGAAGACAAATAATGTTAAATTGAAATTATTTGGCGCAATTGCGTGGCTATTGCCCTCTGATTAGGCTTTATTTTCCTGGTTTTAAAAATAAAAGCATCAAACTTTAGTTTAGCCTATGTCAGTTTTATCAAAAGTGAAATGTTTATTTTGAACCTCCTCTTCGCATCTTAAAACTTATATAAAAAAGTTGAGAAGCTCTGTCCTTTGTTAAAAATAACAATATTTTTAGAAATAAAATGATATAGACATGAAGATTCAGAAAAAAGAAGAAATTACAACACAGGGACTTAGATACATGCTTTTATAAACAGCATTTTTGTTATTAGTACAATATAAGAACAATATTCTTAACATATTTCAGAATAAAAACATCTAGAACTTAAAAATGTTGTGGATTCCAATTTATTTTACATTAAAATAAAACTGCAAAATGACTTTTTTTTGTTTTTTACAAAAAATATTAAAAAAAACTTAGTTTAATTAGTTCTACAGTAGTTGATGACAAATTATGGCAGTTTTGCAATGTACAATGCTGCTTAAAATAAGACAGAGTGAATTTGATCTGCTCAAACAGATCTGATAATCGAATTCTTTTAAGCTTAGATTGACCAACAGAAGGCAAAAAGGTTGAGCCTGATACCCTGTGTTTTTTAAACGGACATAATTTAACATTAGGGGGCAGCAGAACAGCTTTGTAAAGTGCCTTCCTGTTTCATTTTAAGCGGCAGCACTTGAGCAGAGGAAATGTTGAGTCGAACGCCTCAAAAATACCATTTATAAACAGACAATAAGCATAATAACTCCATGATGGATCAAAGGATCAGTGACTTGTACAGAAAAAGCTATCTTTGATTGTATTGTTTCCCACTTTGTACTCATGCAAAATGACATGAAACAATTCATGAGATTGACATTCCCTTTTACACACTTTACATAGAAGAGGCATAAAGACAATGTTTATCGTCACCACCAGTAATAAAATGCTCAGATTTCTTTTAAAGAGTTTCACACATCATCTTTGATTCATTTAAGAACATGTTATATTGAATAAAAGTATTTCACATTAATTGGACAATGAAAACAGGGCACCAAAATGTACACACAAAACATCAATATATACAATAAAATACAAAATGTCTTCAACCCAGTGTCGATACTGAGGCTATTGGTGTTCAGCTGATAAATATGTAATGCTTTATAAATACAATGTGCTTTTTATTTTGTAACTACAGTACCTTTGTATGTGTGTGTGTGTGTGTGTTTAACTTTATGGGGGCATGACTCCATAAACTCTGAAGTAGGTGGCAGTGTAATATAGAAGTCGTCGTTATCAGGCCTCATTATCCAGAGCAAATAAAATCAACTAATTAATATTTAATTAAACGGTTTTAATTCTTTAAACAGTCTTCTAGCAACCCAGTGGTTAACAGGTTAAGATTTGAAGCTATTTCAACAACAAATCCTTGTTTCATTGGCAGTGTGAAATATATGCTAATGCCTACAAATCATTGGACACTTAAATTGAATTGCTTAGGCAAAATGCAATAATGTAGGCTACCTTTTTTTGTAACTGGAGGGACTTGGCATTTTCTTGGCAAGCAGAAAGCACCCATTTAATAATTATAACTATTACTAAATTAAAAATATGACTAAATCCCACAATAACCTCCTAAATATTAAGAGCACACAAACTCTCTTTTCATTCTATAGGAAATCATTTTTTTTTTTAATAGTCATTACATATTACTACAAGCTTGGCCTTCTCACCTGAAAAAAGTTCAAAATGAGTCCCTAATGACAGCCAACCCCACACAGATGCAATTCCTCATAAATGTCTTAATAATTGTGTAAAATGTCCCAAGACCCCAAAAGTAATGTTAGATTATAAATAACTTCTGTTGGAAAGTACCT